GCCTCAGTAGCTGGGACCAGCGTTAAAATGATTTCTTCTTCATTAAATTCTCCCTTGTCGTAAGTGTCCAGGCTGGAGAGTGACATTTTCAACAGGCTTCAGAGAAGACAAAAGCAGCAAGGATAAGGATACCTGGAGCTCACTCTACCTTCTAAGTGCTAGGATTATAAGGGAATATTACCAGATCCCTCCTTCTTTTCTTCTGATAAAGTTATTAATTCCATGATGGGGAGCAGAACCCCCACCACCTTGTCTAATTCTAATTATCTCTCAAAGACCCTGTCTCCAAGCCCCATCACACTGGGGTTCAGGTTTCAACACATGAACTTGAGAGGAACATAAAAACTCAGGGGGTACAATTGGAAACACTAAGCATACTTGAGTTTAAGATCAAGATAGATTAGCCTCAGGAGCCTGCCTGGATTTGGGTCTGACACCCTGAGATTCCTATACAGGGAGATGAGAATGTTAGAGGCAAACACAGTGACAGTGACTGGAAGCTGCATCTGTGATCCACCGGTCCTGGCAGCCGGCAGATGCATGACTATAAGGGCCGTCATTCATCAAAGCCGCTCTTTGGGAGGCTGGATTGATGGCTCAGTGGTTAAAGACTGTGCACTACTCTTGTAAGGGACCCAAGTTCAGTTCCCAGGATTCTCATTAAGTGGCTCACAGCTCCCTGAATTCCAGTGCCGGGAGATCTGTCACCTCTGCAGGCACATACTGAAAGTGCCAGGCACCAGGCCAGGTGGCGGTGGCTTAAGAATAATCACCCAGGGGAGCAAAGACCTTGCATGGCAGGGAAAGACAGGGAGGGGTGACCACAGTGTCTGGGGACAGGCTGAGAAAGGGCTGCCGTGGATCAGCTGGGCTGGAGTGGAGAAAGAGCAAAGGTGAATCAGGGGACAGAGAAGAGCAGAGAGAGGAAACACCTTAGAGAGGCCACAGGAAGTCATCCAGAGGGTGACATACAAGGCTAAACCCTAACCTCTGCATATATGGCACTTGCGTGAACACACACACAGACTTAATAAAACAAATCTTCTTAAAATTCTACTTAAGAAAAAAAAAGCCGCTCTTCTTTCAAGGCTGAAACCACTAGGAAGAGGCCTCGGGAATGAATGGGACCCACAGATCACATCCATCACACATCTGAGCCTCTGCTAGGGAGGCTGGGGTGCTGGGCGTGTATAGGAATGACTCAACAGGAGCAGAGGGTGGCTCAGACTGGAGGCTCACAGGAGGCTTGGGAAGCTTTGGAAGATGAAGGGTGATGGGAACAAGCAGGGCAAGCACAGCTCCTGGGTTCCACACTGGTTGTCAGCCCCAGGTGAGAGCCATCACCCCGGTCTGTGTAGAGAGAGACTGTACAACAGGAGCTGGACCCTCCGTTGACAAGACATAGGCAGCTTATGGTGACCCCATGGGAGGGAGCCAGGGTCTACTCTGTTCCCCTGCTCCTGGGGCTAACCAAAGGCCATTAAGTCCAGGGCTGTGGCTCACTACTGTGAGCCTTCCAGAGAACCAGGCAAGAAGTGACTCAGCAGGCACTCAGGCTAGGGCTTTGGACTTTCCTTGTCTGTCTTTCAAACCTCCGGTAGGGTAACTTCTATTATTATAATCCCCATGTTTGCAAATGAAGAAACAGAGGCCCAGGGAGAGAGACTGAACCACTGGAAATACATCATTTTGTAAAGAAACACACCTTGGAGTCTCTAGAACAAGACAGATTGCTTGCTTGTTTGTTTTGCCAGAGCTGTTCAGGTAAGAGATTTCAAATTGTTTTGTTTCTTTCAAAGTCTCCTGTAGCACAGACTGGCTTTGAAATTCTTATGCAGCCAAAGGTGACCATGGACTTCTGGTCTTCCTGCCTCCACCCCTCAAGTGTGAAGACGGCACTTAAGGGCCATCACTCACGGTTTATGAGGTCTCGGGGCTTGAACCCAGGGCTTCGTACATTGCTAGGCAAGTTCTCTACCAGCTGAAATTCGCCACGAGCCCCAGACAAACAAGTTCTAGTTAATTTTGAGGGAGTGCGAATCTCCATGACCCATGGAGGTGCACCCTTTGATGGCCTCGTTTGACATGGAAGAAGCAGAGTATTGATGGAGGCTGAACCAGTCAGCTCCTAGAGTCCCTTGAGACCCAAAGTAGGCATGCACCCCCTAACAATGAAGACAAATGTTGCTAAGCAATTTTGCCATTATGCAAACATCATAGACTGTACATTGTATTATAGGATAATACAGCCTCCTGCACACTGAGACTGGATGGTGCACTGAGGCTGTGTGACATACGGAGGCTGTGGGGTGCACGGAGGCTGTGGGTGCACGGAGGCTGTGGGTGCACGGAGGCGGTGGGTGCACGGAGGCGGTGGGTGCACAAAGGCGGTGGGTGCACGGAGGCGGTGGGTGCATGGAGGCGGTGGGTGCACGGAGGTTGTGGGGTGCACGGAGGCTGTGGGTGCACAGAGGCTGTGGGGTGCACGGAGGCCATGTGGTCACAGAGGCCGTGGGGTGGACTGAAGCTGTGTGGTCACGGAGGTTGTGGGGTGCACTGAGGTTGTACGGTGGACTGATGAGGCCTGTATGTTTTGGCCCTCGTTAACTGAAACTCTGTGAGGTAGTGAATGCATAACTATAATCTAATTCGGTGATGACTGAAATCACTACTTTTGATTTGTCAAAACAAAACCAGAAAATGTCCCCACCACCCACAATGAAAATGTGTGCTAAAATAACAAAACTCTTTCCACTGAACTAAACTACTTCGGGAACTCTCCACTGAGTGATACCAAGGTGGCTGACATTGGCAAGAACAGCACACACAAAAATAAAGAAAATCAGGGCCACCTACTTGGGCCCCTCATAGTCACATTCCCCGTGAACACACCTGAAAGTCCCAACTTTGTCCTGCCTTTGTGTCTAAGATTAAAGTTTCCTGAGGAGAAAGAAAACAGCATTCAGGAACAATGGTGTCTCTCAGTGCCATGGGCCATGAGTTTGTGGGGACTCTGTTGGGACAAACCTCAGGAAATCCGGTTTGGCTGGCTAAAAGTCAAAGGCAATCTGTCAGGCCACGTCCCAGAGAAAGCCTGGCTCCAGGCATGAATTGGCTCAGACCCAAAGGATGTCACTATGACATTCAGCTTCCCTCTCCGTCTTGACTCCACTCAACTGACTCTGGTGCCAACTTCAGCATCACCGCTTGGCACAGAGGCTGCACAGCCTAGCCCAGGTCGTGCTTCTTGGTGGATTCTCAGAGATGAGCACGGACAAGGGCAACCTCAGATGGTTTCCTGTCTGCTTAGCAGTGAGGAATGGATGCGGGTTAAGTTAGGGTGAGGGTGGACAAAGAGGGGTTGATGCGGAAGTAAGTACTGTCATGCTGTGTGCGGACAACTTACTGTGAGTCCGTGATGCTGGGGAGGTGTGCATCTTAGTAGGGATGATGTCTAGGAGGACACGCTCTAGCTCAGATGGCACCACAGAACGAAATGCTGGAGGTGTCTGAGTCAGGAGTTAGGGCATGCCTTCCCCCTTTGGAAACCCCCGAGGGATTAGGAGAGGGAGGTCTCTCTCACTGAAAGTGTGACCTCAGAATGTGACCTTGGCTAGGAGCTCAGAAATGAAGACTGAATGAATGAATGCTTTCTACGGCTCTGTGCTGCTAAGCATAGGTCGTAGCATTCATCCATCCACAGAGTTGTCTAAGCTCATACGGTACACAGAGTAGAGGCAAGCGGATTGTTGAAAATGAAATGAAATTGGTCAAGAGAAAGACAGCAGTCACGTGAGTGCTTGTGTTCGCTTTATTTGATGGCTCTTGAGATTGTACCCGGGTGCTCAGGAACAGCAGGCGTGTGCTTAAAATAGAAGCCCGCTGGAGCAAGGGGACGTGCGAGCAGGACCTGGTAGCGCGGTCCCGTGTTTCCAGCACTGGAGAAGGCAGAGGCAGGAAACTTTCAAGGCTGGTCCCAGCCCAGCAAGTCCAACACCTGGCAGGGCCGTTTAGCAAGACCTTGTCTCAGAGTCAGAAGTGAAAAAACAGGGCTGGGCTTGTGTGGAAGAAGAAGGTTTGGTGGGAGGGGGAAGAAAAAGGTAAGGGGTAAAAGATAACAAAAATACACCATGTACACAAGAAATCATCAAAGACGTGTGTGTGTGTGTGTGTGTGTGTGTGTGTGTGTGTGTTTGGTTTTGAAAGAGTTTCTCTGGGGAACAGCTCTGGCTGTCCTGGAACTTGCTTTGTAGACTAGGCCAGCCTCAAACGTGTAGAGAGAGATCTACCTGCCTCTGCTTCCTGAGTGCTGGGATTAAAAGCCAGAACCACCTCTGCTCAGCTAAGTAAGTTTTGAGAATTAGTTAATTACCTGGGCGGGGGCTGGAAAGATGGCTCAGCAGTTAAGAGCACTGAATGCTCTTCTAGAGGATCTGGGTTCAATTCCCCACACCCACATGGCCACTTACAACTGTTTGTAACTCCAGTTCCATGGCAAAACCACCAATGAACATTAAAAAATAAAAAATTGAAAAACTTTTAAAAAGAGAATTAACTAATTGAAAAACTAGAGCTGGAGATGTAGCCCAGTGGTAGAATGCTTCCATGACCTGCTTGCGACCCTATGTTTAATCCCTAGCACTGGAAAGAGGTGGGGAGGGTGGAGAGACAGACAGGGAGAGGAGAGGAGAGGGGGTAGGAGGTAGGAAAGAGAGGGAACAGAAGGTAGGGGGGAGAGGATGAGGGGAAAAGAGAAGAGAAAAAAGAGAAGGGGAGGAAAGGAGAGAGGAGGAGAGAAAATAAGAAGAGAGAGGAGGGAGAGAGGAGAGAGGGGGAAGGGGGAGAGAGAAGGGAGGAGAGAGAAAAGGAAAGAGAGGAGAGAGAGGGACAGAGGGGAAGAGGGAGAGAGAGGAGGGAGGGGAAAGAAAACGAAAGAGGGAGAGAAAGGGGGAGAAAAGATAGGAGGAGAGAGAGGAGGGAGAGAGGAGAGAGGGCAAGAAGGGAAGGAGAGAAGGAGGGAGGAGGAGGGGGGAGAGGGAAGGGAAAAGGGGAAGAAGAGAAGGGGAGAGAAGGCAGGACGGAGAGACTGAGAAACAGTATTGTGTGTTTATTCTTTGAGGGGTTGTGCCATCAGGGCTGAGGGAAAGACGGGTTCCAAAAGGCCTAAAAAGTTTCCGTGAGACTTGCCACTGGGCCACGTGCTGGGTGTGACCCTGGTGGGACAAAAGAAGGTACACAGTGGGCTGAAGGTAGAGTTGAGGGATCAGCTTTCGGATACAGCAAGTCCCAGGCTCCAGTCCCTTCCCTGGGAGCTCCTCCACATCCACCTTCCTTAAGCTTCTCCTTTCTCACTAGGGGAAAGCAGGAGAGGTGTCTGTGAGTTGTCCACGCTGCTGCTGACCCTACCGCCTCACTTGCCTTCCTCCATACCTGCTGGTCACAAACCCGCCTGCCAGACACTCCTCTGTTGGCATGGTGGCATCTCTCAAGAGTGAGCAGGAGATGTGACAGGGTGGGGATGGTGTGGTCTTCTCCCTCGGGTGTGTCCCCAACTCACGTCACTGGCTGCAGCATCATTAGCATTCAGTGTGTGCTGAAGGAAGAAGGAAGGAGAGAGGAGGGAGCAAGGACAAGGAGTAAAGACGCCAATTAAAGGGTGGTGGTGTACAGAGGATCCATGAGTGCAGGGCTATAGCTCAGTCATTAGAGCATTTACCTAGCATGCACAAATGGTGGAGGCCCCGAGTTCAATCCCCAGCACTGTATGAAGAGGGCATGACGGCAAATGTAATCCAAGCATGTTGAATGTGCATGTAAGATTGGAAGTGCAAGGTCACACTCAGCTATACAGTGAGTTTAAGACCAGCCTACGGTCCATAAGACTTTGTCTGCCGAAAGAAAAAAACACTCCTCCCAAAACACTCTGGGGCATTTGCAAAGGCACACACTCTTACAAAGTATGGAGTGTCTAAGAGCTGTCTGAGTCGTTTTCAATTACCAGAGGGGAGGGGAGGGGAGAGAGGTAAAAGAATTGTCTTCACTTTGCCTGGGTTCACCTGGCTTCTGGGCAGAACATTCAAGGCCTGGCTAAGCAACATCCTCTGCCCGGCTCCCTGGGGCCCGATGTTTGAACCCCATTCAGACCCCGAGGGTTTGGAGTTCATTTTCTTTTGGCAAACCGTCAGCTTTCCTTTTCTGAAGGAAAATATAAAATATAAAAAGACACTCACATAACATCTTGGAGATCAAATGACTCTTGGAAAATTGCATTTTGATGAGTGAGGGAATCCAAACATATGGATTAAGTTCTCTTTAGATCTCCCGGGGGAGATGAGGACCAGCCGTGAGCAGAGTGCAGCAGGCCCAGGCAGCAATGGTCTGCGCCTCTTAGGAGTGTGCAGTGGGTGCACAGAGGGAGGGCTGAGCTATCTCAGGCCCTGACAGCAACTGTTGACCACATTCCAGCTGGCTCAACCGCAGGGGAAGCATGCACTTTAAAAAAAAATGACTGCTTCCTTTCTTCTGACTTCCCCTACCCCAGGGGGGCAAGCTTTAGGGTCTTATTAGTGACTGGAAAGGGTAGTGGGTTGCTGTTCCATCTGTGTGATTTATCCCAGACAGCAACCTCCAAGTTTCTCCCTGGAGAAAACGCCAGAAGGATCCGCTGAAGCCAAATATTTGCAATCAGGTACTTAGGTGAGGGCACTGATTCTTTTTATGGCCTCGTTCCTATCTCAATTTCGCTGATGCAGCCGGGCTCAGACTCCGGGACCTTGCCTCAAGTATGATTCATGCCGTCGCTGCTGGGAAGGAGCGCCACCAGGCACCAGCCCTTCCAGCTTTCTTACCTAACACCGGAGAAAACTCAAGGCTCTTCTCGTCCTGACCTGGCAGGAGCAAGGACTGTGCTGACCGCTGACTTAGGGAGGAATAAAGCCTGCAATGCACCCAGTAAGGCCATGCAGCAGTTCGCTTCACCCTCCCAACCCACCTCACCAGGACAGCTGCTGCTCTGCCTGCTTTACAAACAAGTAAACCGAGGAGGCACACAGATTCTGCAGCCTAAACCCAGGCTACACAGCTAGTAACCGACAGAGCTGGGATTTGGACCAAGGGTTTTTACCAATGCCAGATGTATCCTCACATCTATTACAGCCTCCGAAATGTCATGTGCTTTGGCTGCTGGTGAGGACGGCTGTTCTTCTGCCATGACGTGGCTGGTGCCCTCTTGAACTGTCATTAGCTGTGCTCACCCAGGGAGAGCTGCATAAGATTGGGCCCATTAACTTTGCATCATGGAGGTGAGGAGGTACTTACAGAGCCTCTCACCTTCATGAGGACTCTCATATAGGTGGCAGTAGCTCGGTGGGGGAGAGGTACAAGGGGCCTTGCCTCTCCTCTAAGATCTGTAGACAGAACATGGTTAGTTGCTGGGAGAGGGGGTCACCAGGGCCCATGTCACCCTGAAGATATACAGGCAGTTAAAGGTTACTGGAGAGAGATTGTATCTTCCACGATGTATTTGATTTTAAGTTGTCCACACTCCTATAAGTAACTAAACTCATCCCCGAGACAGCACTGTCTGAAGCTGGAGCTGGACTCACCATGTCCCCGTGATTGATGTGTTCCTTCTTTGAGGAGTCCCTTGAGCGTTCAGGGTAGCCAGGTTGCTTGGTCTGACCAGCCTCTGCCCAAGGCAGTGAAACAGCAGGGAAGAGTCCAATAACTGCCAGGTATAGAGACAGATCAGCTCCACAGCTGCTACTTCCGTCTCCCCCTCCTCCTCCCCTCTTCTTCTGTCTTCTTCTGTAGCCCAGATTGTCCTTGAACTCAGAGAGACCCACCTGCCTCTGCCTTCCAAGTGATAGAATTAAATGTATGTGCTAGCATGCCCAACTCTCAAGTCAGCTTCTAACACCCCAACTTCTTTAAAGGAAAAAGATGAAGCATTAAAAGGGTGCTTATCATAAAGGCCTATTGGGAATACAATCAATACTGCAACGGTACTGAACAGTGATAGTGTCTAACCCCAGCTTCACTGTCCCCAGCAGAGGTGAGTCCCTCTGATCTGTTTCACTCCTACCACCTGACAAAAATATCCCACATCCTCCAACGAGGCTTCATGCATCCATGAAAGCTATTGATGCTTGATTGGTTGGGCCTGGCGCTAGACTGGAACTCCAAGCCTTGCACATAGTAACCAAATGTTCTACCATGGAGTTACACCTTCAAGTCTTCGTGAAGGTTTTTTAGAAACTGGTCAGCTAGCCAGAACACCTTGCTTCTCCCTGGAGGCTATCCAATCACTCTCCAGTATAAGAGTGGCTTCTACCGCTATGGGGAGCCCACCAGAGATGACCACTTGGAGGCAGTTAATAGCCAACTGAAAGTCTTTATTCCAATTGGCTAGAATGACACTCAGGTATTTGGGACCCAAGTGTAGTACCAAGTGTTTAGAGCAAGGGGCTTTAAAAAGCAAAAACTACACCCAGGTATCTCATTTGGCAACTTCAGGGGAGGTTTTGAGCAAGCATGCAATTTAACAGATGTCGTGATAAATTCGCTGGGGCATCTTGATCTCAGGTTCCTAGAATAGAGTTGGGTAATTTTCCATGGGGTTCTCCATCAAGGAGATCAAATTCTAGCTAAACCTAAAATGGCCTCAGCAAAAATACAAGACGGAGTACCTCTTCACTGTCTTGTCCGACCACCCTATGCTGATTGGGGCCCAGCTCTGAACGGAACACACCCAAGCTCCATCTTCTGCTGGGACATTATACTTCCACAAACTGCAGACTCCTGAGCTGCACAATTGGGAAGACTGAGACAGTGTCCCGGAAGTGACTGTATTGGTTGTATCGGCTCTACCATGTCGGTTGTGTTAGCTCCTCTGTGTTGGTTGAGTTGGCTCCTGTGATCTGGTTCCTGAACACTTGTTAGAGTGCCTGCATTTGACTGTAGAGTCTCCCAGGAGAGTCACTGATTGGATGAGGCCCTTTGCTGGGTTTACAGAAGAGAGACTTGTGGAAGCAAGGCTCAGAGGGAGGAAGAGCAAGCAAAGGTGACTGAGAGCTGGCTCTGTGGTGGACTCCCCAAGGTTTACAGAACACCAAAATCCTGGGAAGCTCATACTATCCTCTTTCACTGAATAAGAAACTGAGGCCAGGAAGGACTGAGAGCTCAGCCAAACCCACATATTCATTAAGAACAGAATCAGGATGAAACCGTCAAATTCCTGTCCAGAGTCCAAAGCCTTCTCTGATCGACAAGACTGTACTCTTTTTTTGAGGCGGGATCTTGCTATATAGCTCACGCTGGCCTTAGTGTAAGATCCCCTGCCTCAGATCGCGAGTTCGCCTGCGTTTTGGGGTTACTAGGATACCACCACATTTTACTCGAGGGCACTGTGTTGATTTGCGTTCTCTGTGGAGCCGATCCCAAGAAAACACACATAAGGGAGGCACTGAAGACACTGCCTGGGAGGGAGAGGGAAGCGGACAAGTGAGGTGGGTCCTGTCAGACTATGGACTGAGGTGCAGCTGTGATGCAGGAGACAACGTGCGCCGAGGGATGGAAACTCCAGAGCCGCAGTCCAGCTGCAGGGAAGGCCAGCCGGCCCAATGGGACATCCTCAGGCCAGGCTCTCAAAGAGGAGGCCCACATGTCCCCAGAATGATCCTGTACTGTACTTTGCTGCAGGTGGTAATGATCCAGGAAACTCTTCCCAAATGTCACCTCAGGTTGGCACACGTTGAGCCTCCATAGAAAAAAGGGAATTAGATCAATGCTAAATAGGCACAGCAAACGGTTCCATGCTGGGCACACAGTGTAAAAGAAGCAGTAACAGTAGCCCAAAGGAGGTCCATTCTGACACCAGCACAGAGATATAGCGTGTGTGTGTGTATGTGTGTGTGTGTGCCGGGGGGGGGGTAGTAGGAACACTTCTGCCGAAGATCAAATTCTAGAGACATTTCCTCTGGACTCCACACATGCATATGCACATAGGAGCACACATACGTCCATACACCATACACATGCACAAGAATACCCACAAATTAAGCAGGTATTGCACGCCTGTAATCCCAGCACTCAGGAGGTGAAAGCAGGAGACATCAAAATTCAAGGTCAACCTTGGCTACATAGGGAGTTCAAAGGTCAACCTTGGCTACATAGGGAGTTCAAAGTCAGCCTGGGTTGTAGAAGACCCTGTCTCAAAGAAAACATAAAACACAAAGCTGATTTGTGAGAAATGGCATCTGGGCAGGACTGCCAACAGAGAGACGTGGTTTTAGAGAGCATGCCATGTGATTGTTGTATGCTGGCCCTCGGCAGCCCCGGTGTCCTGGGAATTGCGTCTTTCCTGGAGCCCAGAGGCTGCTCTGGGCCCAGCTGGCAGTTCATTTGGTGTGTCTGATCTCAGGGATGATTTTTTTTTCAAAGGCAGAAAAGGAATGTCACGCTTTTGTGAGGCAGGTGATAAACGCTCTGTCTCAGGGGACCAGGTACCAATTAGGGCCAATTAAAACTGAATTCCCATCATCTGGGAGCAGGCGATAATGGAACTCTCCTGTCCCACGAAACTGTACGTTGTCAGTCAGGAGTTCATCCGCTTAGAGAATGAACTCCACGGGAAAATACTGTACTGGTCACTCCTGATGTTAAAAAGAGAAGAAAGAAAAGCCGGGTGGGTAAGATGACACAGCAGACAAAGATGCTAGATGCCAAATCTTTAGATACTAGACACCTGATGATCTGAGTTGAATACCCAGGTCCCACATGGGGAAGGAGAGAACTAAATTCTGCAAGTTGTTTCACACCTCCACACATATAATAAATGAATAAATGTCATAGTCAAACCTTCCCAAATGAGTCTTCATTTTCCAGCACCTTCTATTGTCAGTGCTTAGACTTCCAACCAAGTCAGCCTGAGCTTAGGGCGCTTCCAAACCACAGCTCGCAAACGTGGGCTCGTAAAACTGTGCCCAGGACCAGCCACTGAAGGAGGAATGACAGAGACTGAGACACTTGCCTACTTTTCCCTGTGGTTCCCCGCCCCCCTTCGAACTGTCCTGTCTTTTCAGTCTGTGATAAAAAGGGTAAGGAGGCACCCGATAATTTCCAGGAGCATAATTGAGTCACCCAAGTCAAGAGCTTCCGGAAATTCTCCCAGGAGTCCCAGCGCTCTCTGGCCCAAGCTCTGCTTAAGCCCTCAGATCAATGTGAATCAAGCTGATATGTTCATTTGGACTACGGGGCGTGATTAGTTTCAAATCAGTTAAACTCCTTATGACATCATGATTAAGAACACAATGTTACAATACGTTAATATCAAAATCACGGCTCCTATTTGAGAAGTAAAATCCCCACCCAAAGTTTGGTAAGATCTCGCCAGAATCACTACTCAGGCAGCATGGCACACAAGGAGGTGAACTGAGGAAGTTGGCTTCACTAGGTTCACCAGGGATGACCCAAACAGACTCCCCCAACCCTTTTTCAATTAAATAAAGTCTCACTATGTAGTTTAGGTTGGCTTAGGAGTCACTATGCAACCCAGCCTGGCTTTGAACCTATAGTAATCCCCCTGGCTCAGCTTCTCACTCTGCTCAGGGACAAACGAGCTGTTCAGTGAACAGCCTCTGACAAGATGTGAGCCCGAAGTCATGTCAGCAGCAATATATTCCTGTGAAAAATGCACTGGGGTCTAGACCCTGCCACATCTTCCCTCCAGCACCCCGCCCCCCACAACAGAATACCTTCATAGGCATGGCAAATAAATCCAAGTGCAGCCTTCAGATGTACGTCCCCTCTCCTGGTTTTAGAGATAGGGGGAAAAAGTCAAAAAAGTAAATTAGAGTTTGCATTAAAATAATGTAATTAACTATAATAACAAGGGCTTACTCGTCCTTTGAAAAGTTAGATCCTAATCACTGTCATTGGTCTCATGACTTCCCCATGAAACACTCTAGATTTTCATGGTTTTACACTCTAAATTTTCATGGTTTTACACTCTAGACTGAAGAACAGAGGATTAAAATGACTTTCCCTAGGATCACAGTAAGGGGCAGAAGGAGGGCTCAGAGAAGCCTCTGAGCTTCTCTGTGGAGAGAAGCCAGTGAGAGACTCATCTGAATGGTGAGCCTCAGTACCGTGCGGTGTGGGTTCATTAACTAGTCCTTTTTACTGACCAGAAACCCAGCCGTTTTGTTACCTTGTTTTTTTTTAGATCCTAGATCTTGGGGGACACAGGAGATGGTGGCCTCCAGTGCATGCCCCACAAAGAAATATTTAAAGAGTAACCTGAGAGTAACTAGCTGCCTCTCCATTGGCCGATCACCTCTGAAGATACGGCACATGAGCTGAGGTTTGAATGACAAGAAGGTGCCAGAAACCCTAAGACCAGCAAGGAGGACGGGTAGCAGGTGCTGAGGCCCCACAGCAGGAAATGAGCTTCTGTGTAAGTAGAAGGAAAAGATAAAGATCTGGGTTGTGGATCAAGATGGCCCAAGCCTGACCCTGATAGATGGCCCAGGCTATAGTGCTTGGCCTGTAAGAATGAGGACCTGTGTTCAGGTCCCAGGACCCACCTAGAAAGCCCTTCCCATCACTGCAGGGGTACGGCGGGGTTGGAAGAAAAGAATGCCAGGGGTTGCTGGCCAGCTACCATAGCTAATGGGTGAGGTCCAGGTTCTAAGGTCACAGACATCTGCTCCCGGAGATTGACAATCAAAGCGTGCTTCTAGCATCCATCTATACATACATACACACAAACATGCACTTACACACACATGTACCTGCAGACACATGAACACACACGAGAGAAAGGGGTGGGGTCTTCACTCTCACAAAGGTTATATCTGGGCAAGATCTGGGAAAGGACCAGGGATGCCCAGAAAGATGCTGGGAAGTGATCTGAGGAGATGACGCAGTCAATAAAGTGCTTGCCTGGAAACCACCAGGACCTGTTTCATCCTCTGACCCCACGGAAGAAGCCAGATGGAGTAGCACGTCCTGCATTTCCAGCAATAGTGAGGTGGGAGGCAGACAGAGGCAGGCTCCTGGCGTCTACTGGCCAGCTAGCCCAGCTTAGTTGCTAAAGTTCAAGGTCAGTGAGGGATCCTGTCTCAAACCAAAAATGAAGGGTTTTCTGAAAACACCTGAGGTCATCCTCTGAACATCTTGCATGGGCAAACATGTGCACATATATCACCCCTGCTTCCTCCACGTGTACTTACACACACACACACACACACACACACTTTGTAAGGCATGCACAGTAATCCCACAGAGTCTCTCAGGCATCTAGATAGAAAGCTACAACTCCGCCAGCCCAGGACAGGCCACTCTCCACACCCGTGGGTACACGGCCAGCACAAACTGGACTTGGAGGGTTATTTAAAAAAAGAGAGAGGGGGTGGGGTGCAAGGTGAAGGTGGACCTGAGGGGTCATGAGAAAGAACTGAGAGTAAATATGATCAAAATACATGGTATGAAATTCTCAAGCAATTAATAAGATTATATACTTTAAAGCTAAAAGTAATACAGAAGAGAGATGAAGTGCAGAAATCAAAGGGATAGCTCTGGTAAAGCAACTGGCTAAATGGCAGATTCCACCCGAAGGACCACTAACACTGCTTGTGTGAGAGTCATTATGGGAACCAATAAATCATTTCCTGTGTATCCCACAGGTGGGCAGAGACTGTTGGATGCCCAGGGCACAATACATTATGAGTCTCCTGTTCTGGGTATTGTGCTGGGGATTTGGTCCCTGCAGCTTCACCTCACCCCTCCGCCACGGGTTAGGCATATACAGCCAGCACTCACCCCTACTTTGTGGATCAGAAACTAAGGCCACATGGGAAATGAATGGCAGAGAGAGCAAGCTAGCACTTTGCCTAGGACTCTGAGTCCTTCTGTGAAGGCGTAAGTCACAGACAATCCCACACCAGTTTGGAATTATGATTAATATAATGGTTATTTATTCAAAGGGGAAAAAACTTACAGATTACCGTCCCAGACAACAGCCCCTCCGCGCGAACAGGAAAGGAGTCCAGGGGCCGGAAACGGAGCCGGAAGACAAAGAGAAAGTGGAGGACAGCCGCTGCTTTTTTTAAAGGGAGAGACCACGCCCCAATGGGCTGGTAACTCAGCGGCGATTGGCTGAAGGAGCTGAAGGAACTCCCACAGCACTTCTGAAAGCTTGTTAGCTAGCTACAGACACCATACCACCCTGCCCCATCAAGAGCAGACACCTCCAGTGTTTATGACGACTGTAACAAAATCAGGTTGTGGGTCCCTGGGATGGCAGAAACAAAACTGATTTTCTTAAGGCATTTACCTGATCGTTCTCCCAGGTTGAGTTCAAATCCTGGGTGCCAGGGCCCCAGAATGGAAGAGGTCACAGCCTTCCTGAGGCTTGGAGAGTTTGCTGAACCTTACTTACATGAAGGACCTTACTTACAGTTACTTACAGGAAGAGAAAGACTCACAAATTCTCTCCCTGTCTTTCTCAGTAGGACTCTCGTGAAGCCCAGGCTTGCCTTAAACTCCATATGTAGTTCAAATGCATCCTAGGGTCTGAATGGCCTACCTCTGCCTCCTGAGTGCTGGGGTCACAGGTATGCGCCACGTGCCAGATTTTATACCACAAATCCCTTCCTGTTGGAATTCAGAGCATCAAAATTTTAACGTCTCCCTTCTCCTGTTATATCTTGCTCCTCTAGGTAGTACAGGCAAACTGACTTGTCAAATCGGGAGTTCTGGGTTGGGATGTGGTTCAGATCTCAGAACTCTACCCTCAGCAGACATAAGGTTTTTGTTTGAAGCCCTAGGAGCTGAGCTGCAGGACCGTCCCTCTCGTCAATCCCACTCCCAAACCTGCACCTTCTGGTCTACAGGTCAGAACTTTCTGGCATATCCTTGAATTCTGTTAACCTTAAAGCAACATTAATTCAAACCAAAAAACCTCTTCCCACAACCCTTAAGAACAAAAGCAGGTTTAATTCTCAGACACCATGCCTTTTTAACTTTTTTTAAACTTTTTTTTTGGCTTGTGGGAAACTTCAAATTTACAAAATCCAACAGAACAGGATCACAAATCCCCAGGCAGCAGCTTATGGTGGGTGCCTCTTCCTGTCCATCCCTACCCATGTATTCCTAAGTGCATCTCGGAGAACATTTCATCCGCATCACCGTTTACAAAACACATACCGTTAGCCTAACGTTCAGCAAACGTGAGTCTTTCCATCAAATCATCGCTGGCAGAAAGCCTCCGCAGGTCCCATTTTCCCCTGCATGCGTTCTGAAAAGCCAGGGTTGGGGCTCCCTAAACCACCGGGGTGGGATGTGCCTCCCAAATTGTTTTAGGAAACAGCCCGAGGCTCTTGGGAAGAGTAATTCCTTCCCTCCGGTTTCCTTCACAGTCTGGAATGTAAAAGCCAAACCCAACAGCCAAGGGTTTGCCAAGAACTCCAAAAAGACGATCACGTGTCCAATTACCATGGCGACGCGGTGACAAAGGGAACTTATTCCTGTTGTTTAGACAGAGCAATCCTGCAGCCCAGGAGGAAAGAGAGACAGGCCGCCTGGGGCCACACACACCTGACTGTCGCCCACGCAGTGCTCATAGGCCCCCCCCCCCCCGCCCCCCACCCCCGTTGTCAGCACCCGGGATTAGCACGTGGGCACGTGAGCTCCTCCTGGGAGCTGATCTGGCTGCAGCTCCAGGACAGCTCCGGGAGCCAGGCTTTTCCTCCGTAGATGACTTCAACAGAGGACTCATTTGAAGTGTGTCTTATTAGTTCTAGGAATATTTCATCCGGTGTCAATGCTGGTCATTAACATGATGAGCCTTGTGATTTGATTAACCCCAGGACAGTTCCGAGCCTGCGCCCCTGTTGCGAGCGCAGTATTGGATTTGGGGTCTAAAAAGGCAAGCTTTCCAGTTAGACGCCCTCATAAATCAAGGTACCAGAGACTCAGGAATAGAGGGTCCCATGTTTAAAATAACTGGGTTTGGGCCAACAAGATGGTTCAATCATTTTCCAGTCAGCCAGACAGCCCTGAGTTAGGCTGCCTGGGCCCTGCACGGTTGAAGGAGAGAACTGACTACTGCAGGCTGCCCGCTGGCCTCCGCGCGCACATTCGTGCCCAAAGGTATGTATAGTTCTACAGAATAAAAATAATAAAGTCGGTCAGGCATAGTGGCCAATGCCTTTAAGAATTCCAGGAGGCTGAACTGGAGAGATGGCTCAGTGGTTAAGAGCACTGGCTACTTCTCCAGAGGTCCTGAGTTCAATTCCCAGCAACCATATGGTGGCTCACAGCCATCTGTAATGAGGTCTGGTGCCTCTTCAGGCCTGCAGCCAGACACACAGACAGAATATTGTATATATAATATTTAGAAAAAAAAAAAAAGAATTCCAGGAGGCAAAGGCAGGTGGATCTTTGAATTCAAGGCCAACCTGGTCTTCAGAGTGAGTTCCAGGTCAGTCAGGGATACAAAGAGAAACCCTGTCTCCAAAAACCATTAATAATAATAATAATAATAATAATAATAAATAATAATAATAATAATAGAAAACTAAATAGCAGAGTTTAGACGTGCCTTGGAATCCCAGCTACATGGAAGACCGAGGTAGGAAGAGCACCAGGGGTTGGAAGCCAACCTGGGCTACATAGAGTTCAAATCCAGTCAAACCCAAAACAAACAAATCAAAACATCCTGGGCTTCAGAGTGGGTGCAAGGCTAGCTTAAGTAACAGTGAGACATGTCTTAAAATGAAGGAGGATTGGAGCGTGGGTCAGTAGTGCAGCCTTGCATGCATGAGACTTTTGATTCACTCCCTAGTGAAACCCCCAAATAAAATGCATGCATGTGCTACATACAGAAAATCTTCACAGAAAATATTGCTGGTGCTCTGACCCCATTCGCAAGGCTTTATTGGTCCTAGGTCCATGCCCAGTAGCAATGATCAACCAGGCAAGGGCCACCTTAGAAAATGCTCCTTCGATTGGGGTACTCTAGAGTGCCCCCTAGAGGTCATAAGTGGGACCAAGCTGAGATCTCCCCAGGCTATTCACATTCTTCTTTCTCTCTCCCTCTCTCCCTCCCTCATCTCTCTCCCTCCATCCTTTCCTTTCTCCGTCTCCCCCACTCTCTTCCCCTTCCCATCCTTTCTCCCCCCCTCTCTTCCCCTCCTTCCATTTCTCTCTCCCTCCTCCCTTCTTTCCCCTTTCCCAAATCCCCCCCTTTTTATATTTTATTTTAATGTGTATGACCAGTATAATGTGTGTATTCTGGAACATCTCCAGCCCCAGGCTGACTAGAACTCTTGGCCATTTCATCTCCCACCCAAAACACAGGGAAGCTCAGTTAGAGGCAAAACATATACAGAGAAAAGTCTGGAACCAGTCATCTTAACTGTTTGGTTAGTGGACTGAGCCCTCTGACTGGGCTCCTTGACTCTTTGAGGTGAGAGAGGGGACTTTTTCATTAAGGCTGTATGGAACACACACACACACACACACACACACACACACACACACATATGTATACATGCCATCTTTTTAAAAATACACATAGTAAAATGTGGGCTTTAAAAAAATAGTCTTTTAGACTGTCACATCATAAAGTATCATTCCAACTAAGATTTGTTTTAAAAGGAAAGATACTAGGTTTAAAAGCTTTTAAATGATACTTTAGGATTAGATGGCTTTCGATGTTCAAGCCCCTGGCTCCATCTTGCTAGAAAGCTAGGTGACCCCAGTTATATCCAGATAGCTCCAGAAGAGGAATTGCTGAGCCGGAAGTAGCACTCAGACCTGGCACCCCATCTATCTAGTTTCCTCGCCAGCCTCCTCTTCCGTGTCTTGTACCACTGAGACACTCTTCCTAGGCTGCCAGCCCCACCATTCTCTGTTGAGCTCTCTGTGTTGTTGAGCGTGTTAGCTCGGCCTTCATTAAGCCCTTTTCTGCAAGCGCCCTTTGATGTTTGTCTGTGAATGAATGAAGCTGTTGGGACTGGGCTGTTTGACAGACCCTTCCTTTATGCCTGGCAACCTGGAGCAAGGAACTACCCAGAGAACTCTGCACTCCAGCTGGAAAGGACTCTGTAACCATGGCTACGGAAGCCATGACCCAGCTTCAGGAGGCCTCATTCTAGTCACTGCCTACACCAGGCCAGGAAAACTCCATTCCAGGCAAGCAAGCCTTGGTGAACAGAAGACCCTGCTGACTCCCCTGTGGCTCCGGAGTCTCCCTCTTGTGCTCTGAACCTTGCAGAAGCTGTCTCCGATCATGTCCAGGAGAGGAAGACTGCTCTTCTAATGACTCAGCACGCGGTCAGCAGGTGGGAAAGCTGGACCTACACCTACGCAGGCTGAGCTGTGACTGGTCCTGATAAAACAGGAAGTCCTGCTGTGACTGCCGAGAGCCAACAGCCAGTCGTCTTTGCGTGGCCCCTTGGCTATGGCTGTACAGCTATGCTGGTTAATTCCCTCTTGCGGCCACTGGAGAGACACTCGCCTGTGCTGCCCCTTGGGATGCAACATCAGGTCCAATAAAGGGCTTTTCTGAGTAGTGGTCGTTTATCTGCTTGTCCCTGATAATACAAACAGAGGTGGCGGTGACTGAAAAGATCCAGAAGGCAGGGGACAAAGACTATGGAAGTGGATAGTGCAGGTTGAGAACTAAGATGAGGGTGCGGGCCGGCAGCGGTGTGGTGGGGGGGAGGGGAGGGAAGGAGTGAGCAGAAGGGCATAAAGAGCCCAAGGGCAGGAGCTGTAATTGAGGTCAGAGGGCTCCAGGGAGCTGTCACACTGACCATTACTTGCTGCGACCATGGTGTGAGCTGCCACCGTGAGTCATGAGTTTCCGGTCACTGAACGTAGGACCACTGCCAGTCATGGCCCACAGTGGCACACACACCTAAAGCTATCAGCCTCTGCCATGTAAAACTTGGAGCCATTGCGGGAGCTGTTGGTCCATGAGGCCTGGAGACTGGGATTGGGAACACTGAGGAAACCACGCTCTGCCTGTGGGTGACTTCCACTCAGACAAAGCAGAAGAGCCCCAGCCAGCTGACTGGTAATAAAGCCATCAGATGCCTCGAAGACTCTCTTGTCCGACACGGTACAGAACTCTTCATGTACAGAAATATTTACTAATGTGAAAATATTAACAATTTATTTTTAGTTTGAGGCAGTGTCTGATGTAGCCCAGGCTGGTCTCAAACTTGCTGTACAGTCGAGAATGGCCAAAACTGTTTTTCTCCCTGTCTCCAGCCTCAGAGTGCTGGGATTGCAGGTACAAAGTGCCACGTTTATTGTTTTAAAACTTCAGACTTTCAAACTCATTATTAAATGAAAGAGCAGCTCTTAAGGCCGTAGGCAGGCAATCTCGGCACCTGGTCCACCTGTCCTTTTTCTCAGACTCTGTCTTGAGGTGCAGGGCCAGTTTGGCCTGAATGTGAAATAACCTCTGCTGGCCCATGATTTCAAATATTTGCTCCCTAGGTAGTGGTGACCTATGGGAGGGTCAGTTGGACCTGCTTCTCAGTTGCCATGTGGCGTGAGGAGCCTGGCCTCACATCCACACTGTGAACTCTGCTCTGCCTTCTCCGCCACGATGGACTGAGACCGCGGAAGCCATGAGAGGAAATAAACCTTTCCCCTTTTAAGCGGTTCTGTCAAGGTGTTTGTCACATTGATTAGGAAGGCGACGAACGTGAGGGCCTTTTGTGGGGCACGGGAGTCAGCTAACGAAGGCTCAGCCTCTCAAGGGATGGCCTTTCCATTCAACAATCAAGTGATAGCTTGTCAACAGTTCAGTGTTCAGGCAAGTTACTGGTGTTGCAGGAGACTTAGCTGTAATATCAGCAAGATGTGGGTGACCCTGCCTCCTCGTTGTGTTGAGATGGCTCAGGGTAGAAAGGCCAGTGCCTCCCACATAAGTGGGTACATTGTCTCGGATGTGGTGCTGAGGGGTCTTTGGAGAGAGACAGAAGCATTGTCGTCTGTGGCTGTACAGGATCCTTAGCTTCTGAGTATCAGAGCACATGCAGAGTGTGTGCTGGTCCTGCCTACTCCAAGAGGTCCGGGCTGGTAGCTAGGATATGTGCTCTTAACAAATCTTCCAGGGTTTTCTGTGTCTTCCTGCGAGCTCACAGTCATAGTGAGGCTGTGTGCACTACATGCCTTGTCTGCCACAACGGATCGCTGATGCTCTGTATAAAATCCGCGAGGGTAATGAGGATGTACTGAAGGTTCGCTCTGGGTGGGACATTTTATTAAGTGGCTTCAAGCCTGTTTGCTTGAGTTGTAACTCATGGGAAAACATCCCTAGACCCATTTTTTAAAGGATGGAGCTGGCTTAGAGAGGTGAAGAAGCTCATCCAAGGCCACTTAGTAGTGAAGAAAGAGGACCAGC